ACATCTGAAGACGTGGACACAGTCATTCCAACCTAGCCAACTTGTTAACACGCAACCCGCCAAAACTTCCTACTGATTAGCCCTAAAAACACATCCTGGCTCCCCTTTGTTTCCATTCCGGTCTATTCCTCAATACCAGACTTCATTTCTCATTAAGCACAAACGAAAAATAAGCAATTTTTCCTCACTCAGTGACTAGACAGAAACAGCAAAGAGACAACATTTCTCTATAAATTTCCAACAATTCATTGGATAAAGTGCATACTTTAAAAAAAAAACAAACCTAAATCAATACTTTAATTTCAACCTACATCTTGAGGAAAAACACCAAGTTCTAAAAATTTCTTTCCAACACAAAAATTCAGAACATTCCAAACATTTGTAACTGTTCTTAAGTGTCCAAACAAAGCCCGCCCCCTCCACGACAGCCCCCCCAGGACATTCAGAGATCGGCCGAGCCCCCTCCACGACAGCCCCTCCCACGCCCCGCCCCTCCACGACAGCCCCTCCCACGCCCCGCCCCTCCACGACCGCCCCTCCCAACGCCCCGCCCGGCCCCCTGTGCCCGTGGCCGCCTCCGCAGAGCAGGGACAAGAAGGCCGAGCCCGGAACCACTCACCTCCGACGTGTGCGCCACGTCGCGATCCACCAACTCGGAGTCAACAGCCATGAGGATGCGCAGGTACAGGTCTACGCCCCGCGGGTTGAGGTCCACTACCGACAGAATGTCAAAGAAAAACTTGGGCCACCGGGTGAGATACTCCGTGACAAAGAGCAAGGCGAAGACCTGCGCGGCCTTGTTGCGGATGAAGGTCTTCTCGGGCTGGGCGCTCAGCATCTGGGGAGCAGAGTCACGCGGGGACCAGGTAAGCCGCGGGCCCACAGGGCTCCCCAGCACCCTGCGACCAGACACGGGCACAGCGTGCTCAGAGGTGACCACGGCGGGCGGGCCATCAACTCAGCACGAGGCCCGGCCTCCCACTGTGGAGGGAAGCTCCATGTGCACAGTTCGACGGATTCAACCTTTTCCTAGCAACACAGCTGCTCTGTCTGCTACAGCAGCTGAAGCGGACAGACAAGAAGACACTATGAAGAAGGCTAGCAAAGGGCTCGCCCTCGAGAAGGAACAGAAAAGCCCTTTTTCCGACAGCTAAAAAGAATGACAGCTGGAAACCGGCTCAAGAGCGACAGCTTCGTGTATGCGGGCCATTTTACCCGACTCCATCCACTCGTGATCATGAAAACCAGTGCTGTTTAAGCCACACGACCAGCACCAAGAAAATGGTGCACACCTGAGGTCAAGCTGCAAACTCGTGTAAAGAAAAAATCTGAAGTACTAAGGGACAGCGCTATCTTACCTGAGCCTGAAGCCAAGAGATGAGTGTCTCCCTGATCAGCTGCTGCTGAACAGCAGTCAGCTCGGGGTACCTGTTCAACGTAAGGGAGAAAGGTAACAGTGGGTGTACCTGGTGTCTGCGGTCAGAAACCAACAGCCTCGTCCACGCCCGACAGGCAACGCGCATCCACAGTTCTCCAAAGCTAACCTAACAGCACTGTGCACCGCTCCCGGCAGAGATGGGGGTGGGCGGGGCGGCGACGGGGCGCACAAGGCGCTGGCCCTGGGCTCTACCGCGGGGACGCTGAGCAAGACCAGCAGTAAATAGTGGACTTGTAGCTCAGGTCATTTTGAAACTGAACGAACAGTCTCCCAAGCGGAACCCGTCTGGTTAACGAAAAAAAAACAACAGGCAAACGAAGGGTTCCCGGAGGGATTTGCCGCTTCGGGCCATGAAAGCGGAGGCGCCGCCCCGAGCGGCCGTCAGGCCTCGCGAGCCAAGGGGCGAGGCGCAGAGGCCGGCTGGCCGCGCAGCCGGCGCTCCTGTGAGACGGCTGGATGCTTACACACCCCTGGCACCCCACTGACCTGAACCCCTGGGGTAAGGCGGCGCTCACCTCTGCCCCGTGGGGGGCACGCGCCGCCCTGTACCACCAACTTACGACCTGGACTGAGTTTCCCCAAAGACTGAAACCGTTAACCCGCTAAGTAGCTGACAGGCTTCTTCCCAGGCGCGGCCAAAGCACACAGGGTCTCACTTGTGTTTGACTTGATGTTCCAGGACTTGAAAGCAGAAAAACTTTATGTGGTCATCACTGAAAAAGAAGAACGGAGAGCCGGTAACCAGCAGCCCGCCGGGGAGCAGGTCCTAGACCGGCCGCGGACACAGAGCCGGCGGCTGCTCCCGGG